AATTAATCATGACTGCAACTCATATGTTTCCCAATGACTTTCTACTATTTTTGTGAATTATAAAGATACATTTGATGCACAAAAATTCTGTGAGCTAAAGTCAATTAAAAAATTTTCCCTTGGTCAAATATTCACCTCAAATCTTTAAGGGTCTCTTAGATGACGTAAACCATGACTACTGACAAGAATCCTTGAGTCATGTTGAGTCGACAAAATATTTTTTTAACTAATTAGATTAGAGATTATGATGACCTGAGATGACTTAATTATGTGATCTGGATTGGATTCATCATCCACTTTAAGTTCAATGTGACATTTTATAATCTAAATCTTAAGTTTGTTGCTATTATAAATTAAATATTCACTACTTAATGATTATCCTTAATAAAAAAAACTCTCACGCTATAGGAAGAGGTAATTAAATGTATGGGCTAGCACCTATTGGAAACTTCGAACTCGGATCAAAAAGTCCCCATCAAATGAGGGCAAACTCTCTGGGTAGTGTTTATCTAAAACCTATTCCGCCTTTTGAAAATTTGACTCGGAATACGATATACAAAAGTCCTCTCAACAATATAGTATAGGGCACAAATTTTTAGAGCCTGCAGATTTTAGTGATTTCGCTTGGGAAGGTTAATCTTTTACTCAGCTAGTTATATGTTCACTATAATAGGATCTTAAAAATGATAAGACAAATGAAAAACTAAATGATTTTTACAAATTTGTAATTACTCAAAAAATTGAGTAAATTCTTTTTGGTGAGAGCATTGGGATATGATCCTTAAATTTCAATTTAAAAATCTAGTGCTGATATATCCCAACAAAATGAGAAATTTTGTCTGGTGAGTATCGATGTATGACTCTTAAATTTTGATTTAAAATTCTACTGCTGAAAAATCCCAAATAGAAAGATAAATTTTGTTTGGGGAGCATCAAGATATGACATGTGGGTTTCAATCCAGGAATCTACCACTGAAATGTTTAATAAAAAAATTGACCATTGGGAGAATATCAACACATGACTTGTGAATTTCAATTTAGAAATCTTTCGCTAAAAGGTCCCAACAGAAAAATTAACTGTCTTGTGAACATTAAGTTAAGACTCTTGAATCTTAATCCGGGAATCCACTGTCGAAATGTCCGAATAGAAAGTAAAATCATGTCTGATGAACATTTAGATGTAATATTTGAGTTTCAAGTCTAAATATCCAATGCCAAAAAGTCCTAGTAGAAAGGTAGGAATTTCAATGAAAAGAAATTTATGGAGATTAAATTTTGGAAGATCATATTGCTACTAGTAATTATCACAGTAGTTGACATCTTAAGGAGTTGTTTTGTTCTCTAAAGATAAGACTGCTCTCTCCTGTGAATCGTACTATTTATGGCCAATGTACATCTTGATGGTGTTGAGATTCTCATCGTTGTATCTGTTTAAAGCCGCATCAAAATTGTTTTATAATTTGAAATATCTACATGTTGCTTATTTCAAGTCGCAATCAGAGGAAAATCTCATCTATGAAAATAAATATAATTGAGCAAAAGATTTTATTGGTGCTTTTGTATATAACTTCCTACATAAATTTTTTTGCATTAAGAAGACATGATGCAAAAGCTTTCTCATCAAGAAGAAAACTATCTAGAAGACAAATGAGAATAAAATATTGCAGGGCTCAACAACTACTGTCCGAGCAACCAATCATTGAATAAGCCATGGTATCAAAAGTGATTATTCCTACCCACAACCAATTCTAATTCTAAAATGAGTTTGAAGGAATAACTCTATCTGTGAGTAAGCAATCTTTTTGGGCTCAACACCATTAATATCTTACTACTAAAAAGAAGCAACTTGAAATTATCTTCAACTGCATATGGTCCTGAAAGTTCCCAAATAAAAAGGCTTAATGAAAAGAAGATATAAGAAGTTTATTATGATTTAAACCAATAGAGCTCCAAGCAAGAAGTTATCTTCTATTTGTTATGGTAGCTTAAAACTAATAGACCTCCAAGCAATAAGTTATCTTCTATTTGTTATGGTAGCTTAAGAATCCATTGCCAAATTGTCTTAACAGAGATATAAACAGATTTTAAGATTGAATTTTTAGGAAAAAGAAAGTTATGTTGAAAAGAATGAATATATGACATCTGATATGCACTTTCAGAGATCCACCATTAATAAATTTCATCAAGAGTGTGTCCGTAAGAAATCCTCACATATAGAGCTTCAAGCTGAAATCATGCTTCAGGTTGAAATCCATAACTATGTTCACACTGCTAGGATTCCTTTAATTAGACAGGGGGCATTTTTTTTTTATTTGGGTGAATTTTATGATTTAAGCTAATCCACAAAAATGTTTATCAATTATCAAAGAATTTTTCTTTGCAAGTCACCCAAATAGGGAGGCCACTTTTATTATTTGGGTCGACATTGTGCTCGAAACCAAGATTCCAAAATATATCCAGTCAGATATTCCTTTGCTATCAAGAGAATAGGCCACTTATTTTATTTGAATCAACATCAAGTGTTGAACTGAGATCCACAATTGATCTTTTAATACATCAGTGCTGAAGCTACATTCAAGCAATTGGGCAAAGATATTTTTATATTCAAGCAAATTAAACTCAATGCAATTTCAAACGTCAGAGGTTCCTTTCTCAAACTTGTCATAATTATGACAGTAAAGTAAGAGAATTTTGAGCTTATTAGTTTTAACATGTTAAGTTGGAGAAGCGTAAGTTCGTCTACAACTCAAGTTTGGAATTCAAGCGGTTCCTGAAGGTGAGCTCAAACAAACTCAAATATGGTCGCAGTGAATATCATTCACTTTATTCATCTAATGATAATAGCTGCATTACCCAAACTTAGCCAACTTAGTGAGTTAATAGATATGGGATTCTCTCAATTGACAGACGAATTATGGCAAAATAAAAAAGATAATCATTGCTCCAAAAAGAGTCTAGCCAAGCTTGATGTCATCATCAAGTTGAAATATCAACTCTCTTCATAAGGTTTGAACAAGCATTAAACACCGACTAAAGGAACTTCACTTTTTTTTTTAACATGTTAAAGTGCAAAGCATAGGACCGAAGAAGATGGCTCAAACTTCATATCAAACCCAATGGTAATAAAAAGAATTTTTTCATCAGAAGTTCTTTATTTCATTAGTGTCGACATCATGTTTTAAGCCAAGATCTCTGAATATTCAGTTAGATATAGATTTTCTTTTGCTACCTAGATAAGAGAGTTGCTTATATTTATTTAGGTTGATCTCTAGCTTCAAGCTGAGATCACCAAATATATTTTATATTTTATTATTTGAGTTGATATTATGTCCGATGTCATATCGAGTGTATCATTATATTGACACTCGAAAAAAATCTCACTCTAGTATTGATGTGACCTAAGTCATCTGTCCTTATGATTTGGCCTAACAATTCTACAAAAGTAGCAGTTAGAACTATAACCCTCTAACTAAATGTTTTGTTGCCAAATGACAGTTAATTATGGTCATGGCTATAACTCAATATTATCCTCAATAAATTTTTATCTTTTGAGTTGTGAATTATAGAAGTACATTTGATGACACAATTTTCTGTTAGTTAAGGTCAATTCAAATTTGTTCCCTTAGACAAAATTCATCTAAAATCAACAAGAGTTTTTTTTTTAATGACGTAGCTCATGATTGCTGTCAAGAATCTTTCAATCGGTTTTGGTTGATTACCTTCACTGACTAAAATGACCATATACCACAATGACTAATTAATCACAGAAGCTTGTGTTTATGGGAAAGCTCGAACACCAAATAAAAAAAAATCTTCGCAAAATGATGGCGAAATCTATGAGTAGTGTCTTCTCTATAATTCAATTTACCTTTTGAAAATTTGACCCTGAATACCAAATACAAAAGTTATCTCAACGACTCTAGGGCACAATTTTTTAGAGCCCAAAATATGCTATACTTAGAAGGTTAAATGTGGGTTAAAATAAAGCCATTGTGCTTGGTTTGATAAGCCCATCAATGTCTTTGTTAATACTGGTCATCTTATTAGTTTTGTTGATCATTCGATCTTTTTCTGCCACTCATCTTTTAGCGCGATTGTCATTGCCGCATATGTTGATGATATTTTCTCGCTAGAAATGATATTTTTGACATATGTAAAGAATCTTAAAAATGTTTGCATTAAAAATTTGTGATGTCCAAAATATGTCATTGGCATCGATTTTGCATATAGATAATTCTTTTGATATCCGATTATGATGAAAGCTCCAAAGTATCTTCATGTTTATCTACACCTCATTGACAAGCTCATCTTATTATATGTGGTAAAATCAGGGACAGTTTAGGGGTTGTTTTTACCCCCAAAAGTTCAGAAAAAAGTCCCAATGTTTATTATGAATGCTTCATTCTTAAATTCTCCTCTAACTTTGTAAATTACAGTAGTTTTGTTATTTCTTTTTTTTTTTTTTTGTAAAATTGGGAAAGTTTTTGCTTACTTCTTTTTACAATCTCACTTCCTCCATTGCTCTGTGTCATCCAACTTCACATTTTCTTTGGTGTCATTGTTGTTTGAGAGTCTGAGACAGGTTTTTAAAACTGTTTGTGATAGGAAAAATAATAAATAAATAAAAAATTGCATTTATTCTGATGGCCTATAATAAAAAAAAATGGAAATTTATTTGCATACCACACAATTCATATGTTTTAACATATCTAACACCTAAAGTTTGATACATTTACATTTAGGCATTATTAATCAATTGTGAATTTTGATATTTGAGTGAGCATTTGAAAAATGGATGGGAGAGAGTGCTATAGATAAAAAAAAAAAAATGTTTGGTGTGCTATGTTATGTAAACTGGCCTTACAAACCTATGCATGCAAATGTGTATTTTCACTAGTTAGTAGTAGCATGGATGTGACTGGCATGCATGTAAATAAGAATTGTGTAGTATCATCTGTAGAGAAGATGAGAATGGTTTATCTGTTTCTGATGTTTTGCAGGATGGGTTGGATTCATATGGGCTGCTTGGATTGCTGCCAAGAAGAGCTTGGATGTCACCAAGCATTCCATCAGATATACTGGATCCGCAATTTCAACCTATTCCGCTCGTTTTGGCCCCCATTATCCCTCCCCTAAGTCCGCCAATCAAAAGTATGATTAGCCTAATCTCATCTCCTCACTCTTCTTTCTATATATATATATATATATGAATCTATGCATCTGCTTAGGTATTTTGTGGAGCGAATCATATAAATGGGTTGTAATAATATTCTGCTGTGTGGAAGTTGGGGGACTGGGAACCGAAAGGATGCTTTTTGAATGATGCTTGAAAAACTTAGTTTTGCATGTTGTGTCTGTTGCCTTGTAAGTTGTAATAATATATAT